AGAAACTAGGCTTGATGAAATTAATCTTACAGTTAGGTCCCTAAATGATACCCCTGAAATTAACTGAAGCTGAGAGATGTTTTGAATCAGATCAAAATCTGGAATGAGCCTAAGAATGATTTTTAGGGTTCTGTGTTATAAAAGCGTTAACAGGAAAAGGCTCAGTGTGATGTTCCAAAATGGCAAATGCCTTCGATTTGCAGAATTTGTGGCTGGCAGGCTGACTGAAGGGAAGATCGTTCTAAAGTGAGTGTGCACAAGGCTCAAAGAGAGAAAAACAAAGGCTGTACAGAAGAATCAAGGTGAAGTTCTTCTGTGCTGAACTCTGCCGCTGGAACTCAGGCAAACCTTAAAGAAACCTGCCAGTGAGGGCCTCACAGTTCCTAGGGTCACCACTTGAAATCTGAGCATGCTGGGGCAAAGGTCCATTAGAAAGAAATCTAAGCAATGCTTTGAAAAATTGATTTGGAATCTATCCTTTGCGTGAGGCACCAGGAAGAGAACATTCACCAAATGCATTTGCATTGTCAAGTGATGACTCAGAGTGCAATAAAACACCCCCTAGCTGAGGACTATGCAGGGTTTCAGCTCTCAGATTTCATACTGTTGGAGAAGGCAGGTGCAGTTCAGGTGAAGGATAGGCCCTGGAACAAAAGATTCAAGGAACTGGGAAAGATCTGAGCTTGGGATACTGTTATCTCTTGACTTTGGGGGAACTAAGAACAACGATGCCAGTGAAAGTAATGAAAAAAAACTCAGTGTGATAGCTCTTGATTTCCCTAATGGCTGTGGCCCATACCAGAACGGAGGGAAGTACCTATTAGGAAAGTCCTTGTCTGAAAGGAAGGGAGAAAAATGCATCATTCAGCTTCCTTCACCAGCAAATTTAAGACAAGCTTTACCAGCTTCCAGTTTGCTGCTGCTGTTTGCAACTAATACATTTACCTGGGGAAAGAACTTTACCAGCTTTACTCAGCAGAAAGGAGCTGATCCAGGTTGGGAGAGGATCTGGAAAAGCATAAGAGGGGCTGTTTTCCAATGCATTTGTGAGGTTTTCAGAGTTTATTAGAACAGAACTAGCCTTCAGGACTGGAAAAAAAAAGATGCTTAAAAAGCATTGTGGATGAGCCTGCTTTTCACTTGACAGTACATCTGTACTGATTGCAATAGGCTAGTCAACTACAATGGTCTGTCCATAGAAATCTTTGTCTTGGGTAACTCTATGACTTGAATGAGTGGTCACTTCCTGCTGATCTTAGGCTATGAGGAAGAATGCTTGGCCAGCCCACCAGCTGAACACAACTCAGTGCATGACACAAAGAACCTGGGGAACTGAATAAGCTTCCAGATGGAAAGCTTAGGATGGATACCTTCCTCGAGGTGCAGGTTCCTCACTCAGAACAATTTTTTGTAAGGGAGAAACAATTTGAACTGAAGAGTTAGATCTGTAATCCTCAGCAGGACCAGATCTTGAGAGAGGGAGGTGGGATGGAGAAACTTCCACCATTCCATATGAAATGATATGTCTGTAGGACCTTCAGAAATCTAGCAAGAACTCTGAAAGTGACAGGACTGTATCAGGCCCTCAGGAAACTGGCCTGCAGAATATGCACTTTACTGAGACTGGATTGCCAGAAATCTCTACAGGACATGCATTACTAAGTGTTAAGAATTAAACACGATGAGGGCCAACTCAAAAGCTGCAGAATTTCAAGTGGGTGGGCAGATGAGGATTTGAACCTCCTTGAGACTGACAAAGAACTGGAAGTTTCTGTGTACTAGGTTAATTACTTTGATTATGTTTAGTCTACCTCAGTGGTTCTCAACCTTTTTAGACTTGAGGCATCCCTGGATAGACTCACAGCACCCTTCAGAAAATGTTTTCACTTTTTTTTGTACTACAGAGAACTAATAAAGCAGCTGTTCTGGAAAGACCACAACTATGAATTTCTATTTGCAATCTCAGGGCTTATATTGTGAATTAGGTTTATAGACCTAACAGTACTAACATTGTGTGACTCCCTAACACCCTTGAAAGGATCTCAAGGCACTCCAGGATGCTGGAGCACCCTAGCTGAGAATCACTGGTCTAACTATATGACTGGGATAAAAAAATTGACAGGCTAGGCGTGTCTACATGTGACACTACATCGCCAAAGTGATGTGCTATAGCCATGTAGCACCGACAGGCAAAAACCATTGCACTGAAGCTATATTGCCACACCAATGCTTTCCCTCATTATAGTGTGCTGCTACAGTGATGTAGCAGCTAAAAAACAACTATGCGACTGGCACAGTGCAGTACAGGCTGTTATTGCACCATCATTTAGTACCAAAAGGATGACGCCATGTGGAGATGTGCCCACTGAAAATTTCCAGTCTTTTGGACCAAAAATAATTGAAAGTGAATCCAGATGGTTCAGGACACAACTCAGCAAAGCCTGTCTCCTTCCTTGGGGAATAAAATATTATAGTAATATCACAGTAAGGGTTTGGGAGGTTTTTTTGGCATATTTTACCCATGAGCCTTTCCTGCCTGGTGTCTTTAACTCTGAAACCCCACTGCAAATAGCAGACAATGAGAATTGGTACCTGGGTTTGGGCAGCAGGGGGGAGGTTGGTTGCTTTTGGGGGTTTTTTTGTGGGGCAAAATTTTGGCCTTGAGTCTCAGGAGATATTTGGGGGCTTGTTCTCAATTTCTATGATTTTACAGATGTTGGGTATGTTGGTAAATGAGACACCTTACTGTGAAGTAGCACAGTTTACTGTGCAGTAAGCACGTGCGGCTAGACATGCAGATGCTTACTGCACAGTAAACCTCACTAATTTCGAGTAAATTTGCTACCTATAAATGCAAGTAACAAATTTACTTGAATTTCTAACTGCACAGTAACATTCATGTAGATGCCTGAATGGGAGCAAATCTGTTCCTGGTCAGCTGGTCACCAGGCAGTGGAAAATTGCTTCCTGCCCCTGGGAGCTGCCTGCTGCCAGGGCGGGCTCTGTCACTGGAGCCTAGGTGGGGACTAAGTCCCACTGCCCAACATCAAGGAGCTCCAACCCCGCCCCAGTCTGAAATCATGATCAGGGAGCTGGGGGCTGGGAGATCCTTATCACCCAGTGCCAGCTCCATGGTCCCAGGGATGGTAATGAGAGATCAGGATCTACCAGTGCAAGCCCCACAGCAGGATCAGGATCTTCCAGCACTGGTCCCACTGGCCCAGAACTAGGCCCAGTGTGGGGGCCAGTGATTACAAATTAGATAGATGCCATCTGTGAGGCTTGGGCTGCAGTGTAGGGGAGGAAAGGAGCCACAGATAGTGCCCCCTGGCGTCGGGGCAGGAAATGGGCAGCCTCCCACTTAATTACATCTTTAAATAATTAATTAACAACAAGGCATGGCAGACAAGAACGCAGTCAGTTAGCCCAGGAACAGGTGGGCAGGCCACACTGAGATCGGCCCCAAGCAGGCCCCCTATTACAGAGAGGCTCAAGTCCCCTCTGGTGGTGGCAGGTGCCCATTGCAGGGTGCCAAGAAGTGAGACCAATTTGCTGCCATTAGCAGCAAATCTGCTCCTGCTTTCCGACATATGTAGGCACCTGTCCAGGAGCATTTACTCATGAGTAGTTTATTTATGAGTAAACTGCTCCCAGATCCAATGCATGTGTAGACACACCCATTGACAATGATCCAAACTGTCTGCACATTACTCAAAGCCTGTTGTTATGATTATCAAAACCCTGATAAGGTAGTTTTGCAAGTGAACAGTAGGTTCATCTACACGTGCCTCTTTTAAGCAGGCTTAGCCTAAAATCGCCATTTTAAAAGTGCATTAAGCATGTGTGTCTACACATGTGCACTCTTAATGTGCCTTAAAAATGGTGATTTAAGCCTATATGAGCCTAAATTTGATACCTGCATAAAGCAGGTATCAAATTTAGGCACACATAGCTAAGTCACATTTATGCATGTGTAGATACACTAATGTGCATTAACACAGTGTGCGTCAATGGATAGACTGCGTTATGCACCTTAGTGGATCTACACATGTGCTAATGCGACATAGCTATTTGCACCTAATGCACATTAGCACATCCATGGGTAGACACACACCTAAATTGCCTTAATACACCTTAAGCAAAGGTGCATTCAATGTAGGCATGTATTAATACATGTGTAGACACTTCCAGTGAGAACTCTTCTCCTTTCACTGAGAAGGAAAGGGTGGTTCAGGGCCACAAGACTAGCAACACAAAAATGTGGGGAAAGAACTGAAACCTCTTCTGTAACCTCTTTTGAGGCAGAGATACCATCTGAGTTTAGGAACAAGAGATGGGAAGCACATGTGCTCCTTCCCAGCAAGATATCATAGACATCACTAAATCTATAGAATTTGGATACTTTTAAAGCATTACAGTACAATTACAACACTTTTTAAGCATCTTTTTCTAAACCCACACAACAACTACAGAACAAGGTGCTGGTGCAGAGGGCAGAGATTATATTCTGTGGATGCTTCTCCCGATTTTTCATGTGTGTAACCTGGTGCTGTTGAAAATTACTGTCACATGACTGCCCCCAACTGATCAGGCATTTACAGACACACCAATTACACCAAGTTAAAGGGGAGGATGGATCCATGCATCACCTGTTTCACAGATGTTTCACAGTAAATGTTTGTATATCTACTCCCTTCCCCCAGTCAGTAGAAACTAACTTGTAGCAATGTGGCCCTGTTTCCTTCAGGAATAAACTATCCAAGTTAAGCTTTAGCTTTCACTTACTATCAGATAACAGAGAACACATGACAGTTACCACAGAATAGCTGATATGCACTAAATCCCAACACTTTTAACTCCGTATAATTTGTGTGTCAGAGCAGGACAAATGCAAAAGCAATATCTGTATTAGTAAACACTCAGTTGTATGAAAATTGTTCATGGGTAGCAAAACTCATAAACTGGAAAAACAAAGTCATGTTAAAGTCTTTGGTTCTTACCTCTAAATCATTAAAAAATAAATGTGTATCAGCTAGATTAAAAATCATTTCTTCCATTCGCAGGCCAAGGGTCACTGCCATTGGTGGGTCCTTAGAAAAAGAAAGAAAGAAAAATGAGTTTCAGTCTTCATTACATTTATGTTGCAATTATTTCAAAAGCTGCTATATGCAAGACTTCGAAAACTTAAAATTGCAATGAGTTTCTCTTAAATTCTTTAGATGTGGAGCTATTTTATTATGAAGTTACAATTAAAATGTGGCAAATGGAAGGTAGTTCAGAAACTAATCAGCAAAATCTGAGGGCAAGGATGTTGAAGTAGTATTTTATGAAGAAAGATCAAAAGAACCAAATATTTATACTTTGACTAAACTACGGTAGAGGAGAAACATGATTGCCATTTACAAACTCACGGAAGGTATAATTATTAAAGAGGAAATATATTATTTAAGGTTGTACAAAGGAAGGGAATGGCATCAGGAAATGAATACAAGGAATGGTATATTTATTATAAGACTATTTTGTTTTACATCTAATGATACCAAAACACTTAACAAAAGTATATAAAGAACTTTATTGCTAGAAAGGAACTGACAGTTAGTTGACTAGTCAAAGTCCACACAGAAAGTCAATGGCTGAGCCAGGAACACAAACTGTCTCTTGTTAGCCAGTACACTGCCCAAGCCATGGGACCATTCTATATCTCAGATGATCAGAAGAAAGTTTGCAACACTTGGCTACATAACAATTTCCTATGCTCAGTGTTATAAGTTTCTTCACTGAAGACCTGTAAAACTGGACCGAGAAAAGCCCTGTAAAACTGGACGGAGAAAAGCCACTCACTATTGTGTTATATTATAGAGAATTATCCAACACTATCAGGGAAAGGCAACTTAAGAAGTCTTTTCCTTTTCCAGTGTTTATGATTTGTGAGTGCACAGAAGTCAGTCTGAATCCTTGGCTATCCCACAAACAAAGTTTCACTTTAGAAAGTTTCACTTTACAAACCTCTTTCCTACCCATACATTTTGCTCATACTGATTCGTTCTCCCATCCTGTCCCAACATCTACCCCCTCTTCACTGCAGGGACTCACTCATGAAATACTAAACTCGCTTTCTGCTTCAACTTCAGGTACCCAACAAAGCCTGATCTCCATTCCTTTTCCACTCACCCAACCCATATGTACTCACAGGATCATAGGAAAGTAGGACTGGAAGGGATCTTATGAGGTCATCTAGTCCAGCTCCCTGCTCCAGGTAGGATCATCCCTGACAAAAACTTCTCACAAGGCAGGGTAGATTTGTACCATACAGACTAACTAAATCTAATGTATAAGCTTTCATAAACAGCACCTTGCTTCATCAGATTCTGTGAAGGGATTGCAGGAAGCAGAGCTTCTAAGTAGAAAGCAGTGACTAGAATAATACAAAGGGAGGATTGGAGGAGTAAAAAGGAGAGGAGGCAGCTCAAAGAGGGAAGGTGGGTAGGAAAAAGAAAAACAAAGCATTAAAAGCTAATCCAGGTAATGGGATAAAAATCTATCATCTTGGTTTAGACCAGTGGGGGCCAAGCTTTTTGGCAGGTATTCCCCAAATTAATCCTGCACCCTCCCTACATGCTACTGCAATCCCTTCCTCTTACCCAATCTGTTGCTCTGCTTTCTGCTCCCTCCCCTATCTGTCACTGTGCTACTTGTACCTCCCCAGTTTTCTGCATGCCACACAGAGGCTGCCTGTGGCACTTGTGGCATCCATCCCACAGGTTGGCCACCTCTGGGTTAGACAATACTTAACATAATCCAGCCTATGGATGATTTTTTGTTCTTAAATTTCCTATTAAAGGTGTTTTCTTAAGTGTCTGTCTAACCTGCTCTTGCAAATTTGCAGCGTTCCAATACTTGACAACCCTCATATTCTGAAAGTTCCTCCCAATTTCCAGCCTAAATTTCCTTTGCTGAAGTTTGAGACCATTACTCTTAGTCTGTGGCATAGCTGATGGATATTATATTGCTATATAATTGTTATCTATATTGCTATGAAATTGGATTTATTGTATTACATTTTTGATAAAACTGTGTGCAGAATTCTGGCTTGCATATATACATAAAATTAAATTTAAGAGACTTCATTTCTTCTTCAGGCTAATTCAATTGCTGATTTCAGAATAATGAATTCTAGCAAGATATGTTCACTGAAGTCACACTACTACCACAAACATTAGAGAGTAAATTCTAATATTTCCCAGTTGAGCTCTTCACTTCCTAGACAGCAGCAGGGAGGAAGGAGTAATAAGTAGGTTTCCTCATGTACTGAGGTCAATTTCATTAAATGTTTTAAAAAATAGGGATAAACAACCTAAAAATCACCACATTGTCTTCCACCTGATGCCAAGGACACACTCAGATTCTAAAATATAAAAAAAACTTAAATGGCACAAATGAATAGAACAGAAGGTAAGACCTGAAGAAAGCAAGAAGAAAGGAATCATCTACAGTAGTTATACACTCGTTTGAATGTGACTGCAAGAGAAATAGATATAAGACAGACTGAACTTCTGACTACAATACTCTATACAAAAAAGAAAGAAAATGGAACCTTTTTGTAGACATTTTGTTGATTAAAAAAACACAGCCCTTTGGCCCTTGCAAGCATGAGCTTTAGCCAGATATTACTAACGTGAAAGGAGGCAAGATCAGCTACAGAACTTCTCAGTATCAAAATATAAATGACTTCAGTTATGTTAGTACTGAGGCACTAAATTGGAGCCAGACTGTCTGTCTGTGGACTTCTGTGCTAGATTGGGCCATCTACTGGAATGTCTCCTAGGAGACTAGGTAAAAATATCTCAGGAGAACCAATATTTACATGTTTTGATGAGGAACAAATTATGATTGGGCCCAAGATAAAGTCCAAAATGTTCAGTACTATCAGCAGATGCAGACTGTTTAATACTTTCAGGCAAGAAATGCTCAAAGGTCCATTCTATTTATTGCAAAGTAACACAATTAACTGAGCTATTTTACAATACAATCTCCTAAATTTTACATTTAGGAGATTGTATTCTATCTAATGGTATAATGCAATCTCCTATATGTATGTGCATGTGGGTGTGTATATATGTATTTTATAATACAATCTCCTAAATGATATGTAAATTTTATAATACCATCTCCTATATATATATATTTTATATATATATAGTATTATCTCCTCTCTCTCTATATATATATATTTATACAATGTATACAATATGTATACAATCTCCTATCGAGATATATCTATATCTATCTATATGTATTATATATATAGAGAGAGAGAGGAGATTGTATTATAAAATTATATAAAATACAATCTCCTACATACAAAATTTAGGAGACTGTCTTGTAAAATAGCTCAGTTAATTGTGTTAGTTTGCAATATAAATCAATATCTATCTATCTATCTATATCGTGTGTGTGTGCATCCTATAACTATCTATCTATCTATCTATCTATCTAGGAGATTGTATTATAAAGTTAAATTATATAAGGGTGTGTGTATGTGTGTGTGTGTGTGTGTGTAAATAAATTAATACATATATCTCTCAAACTAAAGGAAACCTTTTAAAAATACTTTGCAAACAATAGTGTGAATACAGACCGGGAAAGGGAAGTACTCATGAACATAGTACTAATAGTGCTATCCTTGGAAAAGTTTGCCCCCTAAGAGGAAGTGCTCAGGATAAATGTTAAATATTTTTGGCTTAATGACACTCCTCTGAATCATGTGGGAGTCTCAGGCTTAAGCTCAACTGTCTCTCACTGGGACACTCATTCCTGGGAGGGTGTTGTGGAGGCTGGAGATGAGAGAGGGAGGACACATCTCTTTATAGCAATATCCTCTGGCTGATTGTGGAGCAATTTGCTCTACTCCAAAAGGAGTTCCTCTCCAGTGTTCCTTGGATGAAAGTAGAAGCATGCACCCTACAGCCTCAATAATGAATGAGAATAAACACAGCACAATGTGAGGTCTTGGGAAATCTGATATAAGTACAGGAAAAAATCAGTGCTGCTGAAAGAAATGCTTAAAGTGAATTGGGGCTAATGTCACCTAGGCAGCACTGGAGATGTAGATATTGTATTAAGTAGTGAACAGGTATTGGATAGACTGTAGAAGCTTCCTTACCCCTTTCAGCCAATGTTACTCTGACTTAGAGCAATTGCTGGAGCTGAAAAACCCGTGATGACCTTCATGGCCATTTACTGCTTTGGCCTCTCTGCTGAGACTTTGTCAAACGAAGATCAGTCAGGATTTAGAGTCACATTTATGTTTGTGATGTGGACATTTTCCCATAAATATAGGGTAAATGTCTACAGGTCCAATTTGCCCACTAACTCAATATTATGTCCATAAAACAGCTGCCAAGCTTCTGCCACGTCAAATCTCACCAAATTTGAACTATCTGCCCTCAGTAAAAGGTGCCATGTCTGATAATGTATAATTTAAGCCTCTTCTACAATGAGGACTTTCTTTTTAGAAGTGAGTTAATCATTGGCAAGTAGAAGAAAGAGGAAAGAGGATCATATAGAAAGAGCCTCTAAAAAGACCTTCAGAAAAAATATCTTAATAGCATTTTGCATAAGTTTACACCTGGCATTGACATTCTCACAGCATATTCTCTACCTGGAGAAAAAAGGCTGCTAGGGTTTGTATACTTTCAGCAGCCCTGAAAATATACTGCCAGGTCTGGCCTACTGAGCGTGGTATCATAGTGGCACCTTTTACACATATTTAAAAGGCAGTCTAAAAAGTCACAGTGAATTTTCCATAACCCACACTACAGTTAGAGAGTTCAGATTTTTCTTGCTCTCCAAATTCATTTTTGCAGTCATTCTTTCTTTTTTTTTGCAGTCTGAGCCTTGACTTACGGTGTATTCTGATCATCTTTGTCTTTTGGATTGTTCTCAAAGAAACAAGTGATTTAATTGTATTGAAAATGCTAATGGTCTGAAACAAACAAAGCCTGACAAATACATCTTAGTTGACCCCAAAACAATGAGAATTCCTGAGACACAGTGAAACAAAGAATACACATTATTAATAAGGGAACAGGAATGTACCTCATAAACTTTAACAGATGATGACAGTCTCCCAACATATGTCCTGTCACATCAACAAATCCTTATTTAAGAGTTAAGCATTGCAGAAAACTGTATGTGCCAACTGGTGCTCAGCTGCAAAAACCATCACCAGCCACACAGGCCCATAATATAACTGCTCGGATGCCAATGTTCATAATTTGCTAATGTAGTAAATAATTAAAAATAGAAATGCACTAGTTCTACAGTGCTTGAAGAGTTATCAGCAAATCAAATAAGCAAAGAAAATTACTATTTCTGCTTATAATGAGCCCAGTTGTCTTACAAGGTGATGGACACATTTTGATTATTATTTGATATTAACTCTAGGAAGTCCAATAAAATGACCTTCCCAAATTAGATTTACAAGAAACAATGTTTCCTCTAAACAATTATGATTTTTTTAAATTGCTACTTTGCAGTTTTATGTTGACTATGGTCAGACAGGCAAAATCTCTTTCACTTCAGGAAGAATTTTAAGCTACTCTTTCAACTAGTGCCATCCTATGAAGAAACAATTTGCCACATGTTTTCATGATATATTTACAATCTTGGTCACAACATTAAAAAAAAATCTTCTTGCAAACTTCCCCAGCTTGTTGACATTGTAGTTATTTAGTATTTGTCCCACACTAGCAGATAAAAGTCCAAAGTCAAATCAGTCATACTGAACTGGGTATTGCATAAACACATACTAAAGAGAGAGTGTCAGCTTCAAAAGCTCGTGGTCTTAGAGCCTAGATCATACAGTCTGTGTTACTGAATATGCTAACTGATCTTTGACCAGCTCATGTTCAACTTTATTGGATCTAGACACTCCCACGTAACCTCAGGTAGCTCTTCCTCAATGAATATCGGTCACTTCCACTCCAACTTTCTCTTCTCCCTTTAGCTACTGAAGGTGAAATTTAAAAGAAAAATATTTAGTTTGCTGGGCTCACTGTGGCTCTGCACAGCCATCCATCCTGGAAGTGAAGGTGAGCTGAGTCAGCTCTGCAGCCCACGCTGCACTTCCATTCAGTCGTAATGGTATCAGGGTACTAGGGTTTACAAAGATTCATTTATTTTTAAATGTTCTCTTTTCCTCAGGTCACAGCAAGGCATAAGGCAAAAAGGAGGATAAGAGATTGCAGTTCTCTGTTCATAGGTGGGTAGGTGACTGTGTGTCTATCTGCCTAGCTGAACATTAAAAGTGTATGTATGAACTTTAAAAAATAATGGTAGTAATTCCTGAGAAAATCTCCAGAATTTCATACCTGGAAAATGTCATTAACCTTTCCCTTCACTAAACAACTCTTTCTGGTTCCCGCTGTACTATGCTGAGTACACACTAACATTTTGAAGATTTGGAAAACTTTCAATTTTTGCCAAATATTTTCTTCTGTCTTCTCAAAGCAGACAAACCATATTTTATTAAATGAAGCAGGATGACAAAAGACAAAGTAAAAAAAATATTTTTAAGAGCTAGGGATTAGGTCACACAGAACAGTCCAATGTAAAAGTGCTTTAAAACTTTAAGACAGATATCAAAGTATGGACAAGAAGCCACTACTGAGGGACTGTGCAAGGAAAAATGTACCAATACAATGTTTTTATATCACCTGTGGGTTTCTCTGCTGGATAGACAAATGGGCCTCTAGGCAACTTTGTTCCACTAAAACACCAGGAGGTTACCTCATTACAGGGAAGAATAACTGCCTACGGCATTTTTGAGTCAATGAAATATACCCAGATTAGGGGTTACACATATTTGTGCTGTAAAAACAACACGAGTGTTGAGTGTATGAGAGCGTCTTAACATAGGGTAAAAGTGCTCAAAGGTGTTGCCATGCATTAGCTGCTCTACTATAACTGTTCACGTGCACACTCTTATCCTGCGCTAAGGGAAAGCTAAGCCATGGAGTAAGAATGTAGAACAACTGATGTGCGGTAAATCCCCACCTATTTTACCTCATGGCAAATTGCTTGTCTGACCATACTCTTACATTCATTGATTTAGCACTGTGAAGGTACAAAACAAATGTTAATTTGTAGTATGGACAGACAGCTAGCCTTAGCATTGCGTAACTGCCAGAAAAATTCATCCCTACCTTTGCCATAAGCACCGTAATATATGGTCCTCATCATCCCCAGATGCAGTTTCATATGTGTGGGGAGCCTGCTCCGAC